ACACCGACGTCCCGCCCGTCCTGCCTTCCCGCAGCAGGCAGGGCCGTGTGCGTTCCTGGGCTGCCGCCTCCCCTAAGCACAGTTTCAGGCCAACACTTGTTGGAAGGAGATGCATTTGAACTCGCTGGAATAATGGCATAAAATACACATTTGCGATCGGTGTTTTGCTCAACATTCCATCAACCACTGTCTGTTTTTCAGCAAGAAAAAGCACACTTAACATTTTTATTTTTATTTTTTTTTTTAATTTTATTTATTTATTTATTTTTTTGTTACAGATATTTTACCTTTTTACCCCATTGGCACCCCCCACCCCCACCCCCTCCACCCTGTCCCCGGTTTAGTTGTCCATGTCCATTGGTCATGCATACATGCATATAAGTTCTGTGGTTTATCTCTTCCCACCCCCCACCCCCCACCCCCTCTTCTGAGGGATGTCAGTCTGTGCCCTACTTCCATGTGTCTGGGTCTACTGTATTCCTCAGACTGTTATGTTCATTATATTCCTTATATAAGTGAGATCATGCGGTATTTGTCTTTTTCTGCTTGGCTTCTTTCACTTAGGATAATACTTTCCAGGTCCCTCCATGTCGTCTCAAAGGATAAGAGATCTTTCTTTCTTACCGCTGCATAGTATTCCATTGTGTATATGTACCACAGCTTTTTGATCCATTCGTCTACTGATGGACACTTGGGCTGTTTCCAGATCTTAGCTATTGTAAATAGTGCTGCTATGAACATGGGGGTACATATATTCTTCCTGATTGGTGTTTCAGGCTTCTTAGGGTATATTCCCAGCAGTGGGATCACTGGGTCAAATGGAAGTTCAATTTTTAATTTTTTGAGGTAGCACCATATTGTTTTCCACAGCGGCTGCACCAGTCTGCATTCCCACCAGCAGTGTATTAGAGTCCCCTTTTCTCCACACCCTCGCCAACACTTGTTGTTTGATGATTTGTTGATGGCGGCCATTCTGACAGGTGTGAGATGATACCTCATAGTTGTTTTAATTTGCATCTCTCTGATGATTAGTGATGTTGAGCATTTCTTCATGTGTCTCTTGGCCATTTGTATGTCCTGTTTAGAGAGGTGTCTATTCAGCTCCTCTGCCCATTTTTTAATTGGGTTCTTTGTCTTCCTTTTGTGGAGTTGTATGAGCACTCTGTATATATTGGAAATTAACCCCTTATCTGATACATCATTGGCAATGATGTTCTCCCATACAGTGGGTTGCCTTTCCATTTTGATGATTGTTTCTTTTGCTGTGCAGAAGCTTTTTAGTTTGATGTAGTCCCATGTGTTCATTTTCTCCTTTATTTCTGTTGCCTTAGGTGATGTATCAGTGAAAATTCTGCTCCGTATGATGTCCGAAATTTTGTTGCCTACATTTTCTTCTAGAATTTTTATGGATTCACGGGTCACATTTAAGTCTTTTATCCATTTCGAGTTTATTTTTGTGTATGGTGTAAGTTGATGGTCTAGTTTCATTTTTTTGCATGTAGCTGTCCAATTTTCCCAACACCATTTATTAAAGAGGCTGTCTTTACTCCACTGTATGCTCTTGCCACCTTTGTCAAATATTAATTGAGCGTATTGCCTTGGGTCCATTTCTGGGTTTTCAGTTCTGTTCCACTGGTCTATATGCCTGTTCTTGTGCCAGTACCAGGCTGTTTTGGTTACCGTTGCTTTGTAGTATAACCTGATATCTGGTATTGTGATCTCTCCAACTTTGTTCTTCTTTTTCAAGATTGCTGTGGCTATTCGGGGTCTTTTTTGGTTCCATATAAACTTTTGAAGTATTTGTTCTAGTTCTATGAAATATGTCATTGGTATTTTGATGGGGATTGCATTGAATCTATAGATTGCTTTGGGTAGTATGGACATTTTAATTATGTTAATTCTTCCAATCCATGAACAGGGTATGTGCTTCCACTTTTTCATATCTTCCTCTATTTCTTTTTTCAATGACCTGTAGTTTTCTGCAAATAGGTCTTTTACTTCTTTGGTTAAGTTTATTCCTAGGTATCGTAATTTTTTTGGAGCGATGGTAAATGGGATTGTTTTTTCAGTTTCTCTTTCTGTGAGCTCATCATTGATGTACAAGAATGCCGTCGATTTCTTGACGTTAATTTTGTATCCTGCTACTTTGCCAAATTCATTTATTAAGTCTAATAGATTTTTGATGGAGTCTTTAGGGTTTTCTATGTACAATATCATGTCATCTGCAAATAATGACAGTTTCACTTCCTCCTTTCCAATTTGGATCCCTTTTATTTTTTCTTCATGTCTGATTGCTGTGGCTAAGACTTCCAGTACAATGTTAAATAAGAGTGGCGAAAGTGGACATCCCTGTCTTGTTCCTGTTCTTAAGGGAAATGTTTTTAGTTTCTGTCCATTGAGTATGATGTTGGCTGTAGGTCTTTCATATATGGCCTTTATTATGTTGAGATATGATCCCTCTATTCCTACATTGCTGAGCGTTTTTATCAGAAATGGATGCTGGATTTTGTCGAATGCTTTTTCAGCATCTATTGATATGATCATGTGGTTTTTATTCTTCATTTTGTTGATGTGGTGTATCACGTTTATTGATTTGCGAATATTGTACCAGCCTTGCATCCCTGGAATGAATCCCACTTGGTCATGGTAAATAATTTTTTTGATGTATTTCTGGATCCGATTTGCTAGTATTTTGTTCAGGATTTTGGCGTCTATGTTCATCAGGGATATTGGCCTGTAGTTTTCTTTCTTCGTAGTAGCACACTTAGCATTTTTAATGGCTGCATAGTATTCCATCCAATCCCAATCCACACGTGTCCATGGAGCATCTGCTGTACGCAGCACCGTGCTAGGCACGGGGAATCTAAGCAGACATGTGGTTCGCATCCCACCCTCTGGCTCGGAGACCAGCACGCTGGCACTCACAGATTCGGAGCATCGTGGGAAGTCAGTGTGCATGTACTGAGTCAGCCCTTTGATGGGAAAACAGGCACAGAGGCAAGTCTCTAGGGGAGCCTGTCTGCTCCCCGGAATCCAGACCCAAAGCCCAGGCCTCTTCCCAGCACACCTCCTTCCCCGAGAAACGACCAAGGAACATGCTTCTTCATTAGCAAGACTTCTAAATCAAACCAAAGCATTCAACATTTTAAAGTTTGATCAACTGAGAAACAAGGATATTAAATATGATTAAAGATGATTGCATTTGAGGGTACAGGCTGTTCTTCCATTACCTGCTTTGATTAAAAAAAGCGATCTGGGCTGTGGGGTAGAAAAGTTAAATGCGACAGGGGCAAAAAGGCTTCGAGCTGGCTGGCTTCCTCCTTTCTGTGAGAAGGGAGCAAGTTTCAGGGGGGTCCGTCACCCCATCACAAGCGCCAGCTTCGACATGACGCTCTCCCCTCCCTCCTTAATTGCAAAATATAAGAGCAACTGGGAAGAAGAGGAAGTTATTCCTGTGGTTCCTTAGGGGCCAGCTTGGATTCCTCAGCTGAAAGTGGATGGATGCCGTTTCGAAGCCTAAATAGTAATACGGCTTTTTTTGTCTTTAGGATATGAGGGGGAAATTCTTCCTAACATTGTTTGCGTTGTACTATCTCAGTGGCTCTTCTGCTGGCTCTTTTTCCAGGGATGGTGATTATTATTACCGCTCTGTCCCCGGCCCATGCTGCACCCCTTCCCTGCTGAGCTCTGCGGTGGTGAACTGGAGGGAGCTTCTCAGAGTGGCTGGGACGTTATGCGGATCAAAATGGATCTGGACACCGGGGCACAATGGTGGAGGGCAGGAGGCTCTTTCCAGCAATGCTGAATGTCATATTCTTGAGAGGTGAAATAAATGAGAGAGAGAGAGAGAGAGAGAGAGAGAGAGAGAGAGAGAGAGAGAGAGAGAACGTGCCTGGATAACAGCTCACTTATCTCCACCGTCTAATTGAAGACTTGGCTGAGACTCAAAGCTTGGTGCCGACCCAGCTCAGCCCTCAGGCTGCTCCATCCCCACCCGAGGGAAAAATGATCCATCACAGAGCTTTCGTGTTCGTGAAAGCTGACACTGTGCTGAAGAGGAGGGGGCTCTGAAAACAGTTTTCGTCCAAATCCTTTAGAGACCTAGTGGGGACCGTCATCTCAACTACAAATACTGGAAACCAGATGTTTGCAAACAGGAACACTGGGCTCGGCCTCCGAGTGGGTGTGCACTTGGCCTCGGCTAGTTACTTTGACCGAAAGTGTGGAATGACTTTGTTTCCCCAGGGTTGTGACGGTGGGGGCTTAAATCGGGGGCTTTGCAGGGTCCGCTTCAGCCTGAGATTTCCAAGTTCAGCAAGTAAAAGCACAAGATGGCCAGTGAAATGGAGTTGATTTTAGTATAAGTATGTCCCGTGCAATACTTGTCTGAAATGCACATGTTGTCAGGGGTCCCGTGTTCTATCTGGCAGCCCTGGGCAGGAGTCTAGCTGTGTGCCACCCTCAGCCTGTCTTCCCTGCTTGGCTCCCATGGTCTCCATACGACCCACAGGCATTCAGTCTGGCTGGGGTCTCAGGCAGGAGCGACAGAGGCTCTTTCCAGGAGCCCAGACTGCAGTTCTAAGGCAGAACCCACCAGAGATTCCTCCAATGCCTTGAAGCAGAAGAGGAGCAGAGGGTCCTGAGGGTCCCCGTTCACATGACAGGGGCTATGTACTAGGTTTGGGACTTGGAGGCAGTTCTATACAGACTGAGCCTTTGTATTCCTCTCCTCTATTATTAGGCACCTGCCACCAGGTGTGTAGCAGTGTTTGCAAAGCGTCCAGGTAGAAGATTATCAAACTGAAATTTACATAAAGATGACCAGGGAGAACTGCTAATAATCCAGATAGCTGGACCCCATCACTCAAACTCACTGATTCAGTAGCCTTAGGTGCACCCAGTAATCTGCATTTTAAAAATCACCCCCACATGCGCTCACATGTACACACACACCAGATGAGCCAGACAGAGGTAGATTCTCTGAAAAACACTGACCTGGGGTTTAGGCTCTTCTGGACAGAGAAAAGGCATCCTTTTAAAAATACAATATGATTAAAATTATTCTCTCAAAATTAATATCATTCATTAATTTGGCATTTTGCAATTCAATTATGACTAAATTCTATTTTAATAACATAATGTAAAAATCAAAGTGAAGAGTAATACTTATACAAATGGAGCATTCTTAGAAGAATCGGTATTTTTGTCTCAGCCTATAGTTTTGTTTCTTAACACAATATGATTCTCCCCAAGATAAGGACCAGGCTACATTATTTTTTAGTGGACATTTAGTCCTGTCCAAACATCCAGGGATACAATATTTGGTCATCTCTGTCACCCCATGAGCTACGACCAGCCAGGCTATAGAGGCAAGAAATGTTATTGGCAATACAGCCATATCACAATCATTGGACTAATAAAAGATGTAATATTTTTAATGTATAAATCCTGTAAACCAAACATACAGGTGAACATTATGGGATGTTTGAAACTAGGGACATGAGTTGAGCATGGATATTTTGAACAGGATCAAGTATCAAGAACCTTTTTTTATGGACCCAATGTCTGCAAGATAACGTGATTATAGGATGTTAGAATTAGGATAGAAGCTTGGAATTTGAAAATAATTACAGAATTTTACAATTATGGTGGGGAAAAAGAAAGCTAGCAACTTACAAAAAATGGAAGTTTTACTAGAAAGGGCATTTTCCCAGACTTTCTTCAAGATCAGTAGATAAGAAGTAGTGTTCTTATACATAATCTATAATATTACAAATGTATTATTAAATTCATCTGGAATAGCTTTAGACCCACCGCTACAGATTGCGAATAAAACAAGACATTCTCACCTGTGAAGTCTGTGTCAAAACACTGAAAGTGTCTTTTGCCCTTAAGAGTTGGAAAGTTCCATATGACCAAAGCTTTGGCATCAGAAAAACACAGTCCTCCCCCAAACCTTTCTAAAGTAGCCTACGTAGAGAAACATTTTATTGTCAAGGTACACCAAAAAACAATAATTTAAAGGTTTCTAGAAAGTTCCTTGGCTAGTTTAAAGACAACACACAGATAATACTATAAACCGTCAACTACTGAAAATAAATTGTGTAGTCTTACAGGTCGGATTATGTCTCCTCGCAACCCCCGACCAAACCTATGTTGATGTCCTAACCACTGCTACTTACAAATGCGATCTTATTTGGAGATGAGGATCTTGCAGATGGAATCAAGTCCCAACAAGGTCACTAGGGTGGCCCTGCCCCAGTATAATGGTGTCTGCTGAGAGGGAAGCCTGGAAACAGACTCGGAGAGGACACCTGTGAAGACAGCGGGAGATGCGGGTGGAGATGGTGGCAGAGACTGGACTCCAGAAGCTGGAAGAGGCCGGAGGATCCTCCCTGGAGTCTTCGGAGGCAGCCAGCCCTGCCCACACCTTAACATCACACGTTCAGCTTCCAGAACCACGAAAGAACACATTTCTGTTTGCGGTATTTGTTCTGACAGTCCCGGGACAATGACCCCTGGGTTTCAATTCAAGTATGCTGAGAAGTGGTACTTTCCTTTTGAAAAACAATAATGAGATGTTAAAAATGTTCAGTAAAACTAGAGTAATATCCACCCAACCTGTTTGGAACTGACTCTTTCCAGCAGGCCTCAGTGACCTGTTCTGGTTGGTGCCTCTGAAGGTAAAGTCCCCATATGAGATGCTTTCAAAGTCACATCTCACTTATGCGGCACCATGCTAGGCACCAGGTGGGAGACAACGAAGCCAGGCCCCTGTTCTCAGGGACACTACCAATCTAACAGCTGATACACTTGAAAAAGCCCCAAGGAGACATACACCTTTAACAAAGCTGTGGTACGTATGCAATGGAGCCCTCCTTGGCCATCAAAAAAAATGACATCTCACCATCTGAGACAGTGTGGAGGAGCCTAGAGGGCACTGTGCTCAGTGAACTATGTCAGACAGAGGAAGACAAACACCACGTGATTCACGTGTGTGTAGAATCAAAAGCACAAAATACACAACAAACAAAATAGAAAGAGACTCACAGACACAGAGAACAGACTGAGGGTTGTCAGAGGGGGAGGGGCTTGGGGGCTCAGGAAAAAAGGTGAAGAGATTGAAAAGTACAAATGAGTAGTCACAGATAGTCACAGAGATGTGGATTGAAGAATAGGCAACATCGTCAGTAATGTCATGATGACATGATGGTGCCAGGTGGGTACTGGGAACATCAGGGGGACCACTCTGTAAAGCAATGATTGTCTAACCACCATGCTGCACATCTGAAACTAATACAGAAGAACATTGAATGTCAACTGTAGTTTAAAAATAAGTATATACATAAAAATGAAGCACAATACAGGAAAAAGAAAAAAAGAAAAAAGAATGATCTCATGAGAGGACTAGTTTGAACAGTGTCAGACAGTCTGTCATCTCAGGCTTTCTGGAGGAAGTGCCCAGCTTAATCTCTCTCTCTCTCTCTCTCTCTCTCTCTCTCTCTCTCACACACACACACACACACACACACACACACACACACACAAAAGAAAGAGAGAAAGAGAAAACTGGATACAATGCATGTCTAGTGACTACTTCAAATGTTACAATTTCTATTTCTCTAGTTAAAGGGGCTCTTTGATAAATGTACAAATGGCATTGGGACAATGAACTGATGGGATTAGAGAGTCAGGTCATCACCCTGGCCAGGCTTCTGCAAAAAGGTGCTGCTCAGATGCAGAGCTGGGGCCTCCTGCCCTGTAGTATCACACCCATTCTTGCCTCTCTCCATCATCATGCTTTGGATAATATTATTACACTGAGAAGCCTTGGCTGGTAGGCAGCCTGGATGACAACAACTTTCATTTTATTTATTTAAAGCATGGCTTGCCCAGATGGTCTCCAGAGATGAGATAACGCATCTTAGATTCCTGGGGGGCCAGGTACAGTTGGAAGTGCATTCATTCCAATATCACCACCATCAAGCCAAGGCTAAAAGCACTTTCTCAGACATAAGGAACCAGGAAAGATCTACAGTGCAAACATAATGTTAATATCACTGTTAAAATAATAACCAGTGGCTCTTTCAAACAAGTGTCTCAAATTGGCTCCTCCAGCCATGAGTTCATGGTCAGGGAGGGTGGGCAGCGAGAGAAGGCTGTGCCCCCTTTCTTCAAAGTGCTCTTAGCAGGGATGGGGCCTGTAGACCAGGCATCCCAGTGCCCTCTCAGGCTGGGTTGGTTTTATGAATAATTCATGTGGTCATGAAAAAAAAAACCTCAAGACACAAAAAGGAAGCAATAAAACTTACTTTTGGTCATTTGTTTTCTAAGTTCCTTCAACAAATACTCCCTGCCTCCAGGCAGTGTGTTGGGAACTACCTCAGCTACTGAGGTAGAAAAAGAATGAAGATAAAGCTTCTCTCCCCACCTTCCCAGTGCAATAGAGACACAAACAAGTTGTTCAAATACACAAAGAGCTCAAATAAAACTAGTGGGATGGCATAAGAAATGCCAACAGGACAAAGTCAAGGGAGTGCAGAATAAATTGGCTGTATGGTGGAAGCACTATTTGGGTTGACTTTTGAAGCTTAAATAAGTGTTTGCAAAGCAAAGAACAAGGGTAAGTAGAGGAGGACTTTCCACAGAAGGAGGAGGGTGGATATGGCACATTCTGAGAAGGAAGAATGGTCTGTAATGGGGATAGAATGATGGGAAGCAGCCATAAATGGATTTGGGAAAGTAGCCTCTAGGTACTTTGGGAAGGGCTCTATTAGCCAGACTAAGGGAGTGGGACATCATCTTGTGAGCCAGGATTTGCAGTTTCATAAGATGTCAGTGGGTGTTACAAAACTAAGCTTCGAAAACACTGCAGGACTTATCAGAGCCTTTAATACTTGAATACATATTGGAATTTCCAAGGAGGGGGATACAAAAGATATGCCATATTTCAAATATTTTAATCAGAATAACTTTTTTTCTTTCTTTTCTTTTAAGAGAGCTAGGTCATGGGATGAGCATTCCACAGAATATACATTGGAAAATGCTTAGAAAACAGCACAGATCTGTGGAATGTTTTTTGAGTAGAGCCGTAACATATGTGGATGTTTAGGATTGAAGTCTAACCCTGGCGGCAAGAGAAATATTAAAATGGGGTGGGAGAAGGTAAGTGTTTGTGACCAACTTCATATAAGGATCCAGGGATGATGTATGGTTCCAACTCTGTCACTGAGAACACATTGCAGTTGCCATGATCAGGGACCCAGGGGGAGAGAAAGTGAGACAGCAGTTTGGGGCAAGCTGATCGGACATTACTCAGAAGACAAACTACAGCATTGTTTTAAACTCATTTCTTTTGGAAAAGTCAAGAGGAGGGCTCCGTTATTAATAAAATGCTATAAAATGCATTTTAATTATTGCTGAGACTTGAGTCTTTTACTGAAATACATATTCATAAAACTCTGTGGAGTATAGATCATTTACCTAATAGAGCAAGACAGCTCTGAAGTCACCTTCCTAATCTATCAGGTAAATATCCACTTATAATTGGTTATTTAATTTTCGCTCTTTTCCCAATAGGTTAGAATGGCCCGTGAGACTGCTTTATTCCTTAGCAGAAGTCTGTTATCATCTATCATACTGTCAATAGATATATATTCATTAAAGAAATGATGAGTTATTGCCTGGAACAAGAGCTAACATTCAGACTGAGAGAAATGCAAAACCTAATGAAACAGCTGCTGTGGGTGAGAAAGAGCAAATTTTTCATTTTAATAACCGATTATACTCCAGTGCAGAAGGGTGAGGAAGGATGGCAGAGGGAGCTGGTTTGTGTCTGAAACGTTCTGACCCTGCTGAACAGGCTCCTTGCTCGAATCTCTTCCTTTAAAAAAAGAGAAAGGAACAAACCCCTAACTATGTACTGCCCCGACACACATGCAGATATACATGCACATGCACACACACACGCACACACACACTTCACTTGATTGTGTATCTTAGGCATCTCTGAAGCAGTCCACTAGATGGTTCTGTTTACTCGGTCTTTTATTTTTATAATTTATTTTTATATATTTTTTTACTTTCCAATTACAGTTTACTTTCAGTATTATTTTATATCAGTTTCAGGTGTACAGCACAGTGGTTAAACAATCATATACTTTCAACAGTGTTTCCCCTTGATATTTCCAGTACCCACCTGGCACCATACCTAGTTCTTACAATATTATTGACTATATTCCCTATGCTGTACTTTACATTCCCATGGCTATTTTGTAACAAAATTGTACTTCTTAAACCCTTCCCCTATTTTTCTCGATCCCCCAACTTCTCCCATCTGGATCTCATTCAGAATCCCAACACCTTATCTTCCCAATAAAGTTAGTGCTGTTTTGTGATGAGATGGACGCTTGGAGAACTGAAGGGTCTGCCTCAAATCCAGGGTCAACAGTGGCAGAGCTGGGATTTGAACCCGGGCCCCACTTTCCCCACAGCTGCTTCTCCCACTGAGACAGAGGTTGGTCTAGGAAGCAAGTGCACTGGGTTTGAGGAGACCCCGGAGGCAAAGAGACTTACCCATTCCTCTCTGGCCTTGGCCCAGCCAGACCCCAGTGGGATTCATCAGTTACCCCTACCACTCTAACTGGTCTTCAAGTTAAGCTTTGCAAATAAGTGTGTGTGTTTCTGCACACATGTCTGTGTATGTCTGTGTGTGTGTCTCTGTGTGTGTGTTTGTGTGTTTCTGTGTGGGTGTCTGTGTTTTTGTATGTGTTACTTTACGTGTGTGTCTGTTTCTGTTTGTATTTTTTTTTTTACCTCACCCGAGAACATTTTTTGATATTTTGTTCAGATAGAGTGGGAGGGGGAGAGAGAGGAAAAAACATCGATGTAAAAAGGACACATCAAGTGGCTGCCACCCAGACGACCCAACCAGGGCTAGGGACAAACTGCAACTGAGGTACGCACCCCTATTGGGAAGCAAACCTGGGTCTCTCCAGACCGCAGGTCAATACTCTAACTGCTGAGCCAAACTGGTCAGGGCTCCGTTTGTATTTCTGTGTTTGTGTTTGAGTTTCTGTGTGTGTGTTTCTGTATGTGTGTGTGTGTCTATGTGCATCTGTGTCTGTGTGTGTGTGTGTGTGTGTTCTGCAGGATGCATTTTGTCAAACCCTTATGTTCAATGCCAATAGAGAAGCAACCAGACACAGTTACAATGGATGAGGTGGGTCTCTGGAGCCTGCCCTGACACTCTACAGACCCACCCTCCTCTGTGCCCCTGGTGACCCCTGAGACACATCCTAAAAGCCTGGCAGAGACCAGGGCAGCTGTGGCTGGAAACCAGGTGAACCCAGTGCTGGCTCTCCGTGGGGGTCTTGGCCCTCAGGAACAAAATCCACCTGTGGGTGGTCAGGGAGGGAGTCCCAAATCTCTGTGAGCCCAGCTGATATTCACTACTACCTTTTGGAACAAATGTTTTCAAAACGAAGTCCCCAGTTGCATGTGGCGTGAGATGTTCAGGCAATCACAGAAAAGAATATTCTGAAGACAAAGACCAGCCATACTGAGCAAGAGATTGGGCGGCAGGGCTAAGAACTAGCTCTAAATGCTGTGGGTCAGACCCTTGAGACAAAGAACATGCCCAGGGGTTGTGTGCTAAAGACACGGGTCAGAGGACAGAAAATGATGCTGATGGAACGGCAATAGATCTCATTTAAACTCTATGGTACAAAGTGTTGTTCCCTTAGTGTAGATGAGGAAACTGAGGCACAGGAGCCCAAGTCCTGCACCCGAGGTCACCAAGCCACAGAGTGGAAGCCTGAGATCCCATCTGTATTCCTACGGGGACTCTCTCTTTGAGGCCCACCTTATAGAGAAAATATGGTAATGTCTTCTTTTTTTGGGATCATGAAAAAAAATAAACTGTTTCACCAAGTTGATTTTCTAGGTAACTAAAACATCTACCTTTGATCCCCAAATGTTTTAAGATTTTAATTATTTTAATGGGAACATTTTCTCTGTTCTTGAAACAGACTATTCCGTGTGATTAACCCCATCTCTTTGGCTCAGGGCCATCAGCACTAGACTCAAAGGGGCTCTCTGCTGGATGTAACCCAGGAATAGATCATCCCAGGATCCCCCAGGGGCTGGTCATCGACCGCCTCTCATCACCTGCTGGCTGAAGTATGGGCCATCAGGCATCCAGACCCACCCACCACTTCAGGGCCCTTCCTGCCATTCGGAGTCTTTCCCATAGGCTCTGGTCACACAGTGCTGTGCAAAATTAACTCCCAAACCTTCTGTGCTGTGGCTGGCCTCGTGGCCTTAGCTCAGGCTGTTTCCTCTGCCTCCAGTAGCAGTTCTCCAAGTGTGGGCTGAGCGTGCCTGGGCTCCAAAAGAGCCTCTCAGGGCATCCCTGGGGCCCCACCTTTTTCCACTTTTTGTGTGTGTGAGGCCAGACTTTCTTCCACATATATCAGCCAAAGCTACACATCACGACAGATCAACTGAGGGAAAGATCCTGCTGTCTCCCAATGAAGAGATGTTCAGAAATGTATAATGAGGCCACATTTTGTGGCCTGTACTATTTTGTTTTGGAATAACTTATTTTTTACAACAACAAAAAAAGATATTATTTATGTCCACATGGACTGGGTTTATTATTATTACTTTCAACACACTGGGAATTTGCAATGGACAAATTTACAATTTCTCAGTTCTAATGTCTAATACAATAACATCGCTATAACCCACATAACCAAAGGTCTTTGGGGTCCATGGTAGTTTATAATTCTGCAAAGGGAACCAGGGCCAAAGAGCTGGAGGACCACGGGCCAGACCACCAATGCCTCCTTCTCCACCTGCCTTGCTCTTAATTCCCTTTCCAAACCAGGCTCAGGAACCACCTTTCTCAGGCTGAACCCTATGATTGGGACAGACACAGCTAATATGCACACATACCTTCCCCCACCTTCTATTTATTCTCCTGCACAGAGCTGGGCTGTTTTGATATCTGCCTGTACCACTAATCAGTTGTCTCCTTCTGTGCCTTTCTTGTCTTGGGGTTCTGGCACTCAAGGTCATGAACGCATGTTGGACTGAACTGTCTGTCATCACCATTCCCGGTCGACAAGCTTCCTCCTCTAATTTGCCCGCCTTGGGTAAAGCTCTTAAGCTTTCTCATCCTCAGTTCCTTGGGGAATAAAAACAATACTAATATTCATGGGGTTAGATGAGACCTGGGATTGGAGAACCTGCATGCACACCGCAGTGCATTCTTGTCCCCCCAACCCCATCACAAGTCCTCCAGAAATTCTCCAGTTTGAAGACCATCTGCAGACAGTCACGCCTGTGTCTACGGTAGAGTTACAAACCAGCCTTGTTGTTGACACTCTTCCTTGAGGCTGCGGGGCTGCCTCCCCCAGCACAGAAGCCCATCCCCATACTGCCACTGCTCAGATTCATCCAGGCTGGGAAATGAGAGGACCAGGGTTTCTAGAATCAGGATATATTTCTTCCCTAGAGCATCCATAACAAAGTAACATAAACGTCCTAGGAGCTTGAGACAATGGAAATGGATTCTCTCACCATTCTGGAAGCCAGGTGCAGGCCAGGCAGGCTCCCTCTGAAGACTCGAGGGTATAAACCTTCACTGTCCCTTCCTAGCTTCTGGTAGCCCTCGGCAATCCTGGCGTTCCTTGGCTTGTAGCTGCATCACTGCCATCTCTGCCTCCATGGTCACATGGCCCTCTCCCCAGAGATCTGTGCCCTCCCCTTTTCTTACAGTGACACTAGTCATTGGATTTGAGGTGGCCCACCCTCATCCAATATGATTTCAGCTTACAAACCACATCTGCAAAGACCGCATTTCTAAATAAGGCCCCATTCTAAGGTGCCAGAGGTTAGGACTTGACCATATTACTTTGGGGTGAGGACACAACTCACCCACTGCACAGGATTACAACAGGAGTCTCTAAGTGAAGCCCACAGAGCATGTGTAGTTGGGGGAAGTGCACAGGCCAATAGCCAGTCTTTATGACCACTTTTCAGCTCTGGAAAGATCTCTGCTAGTGTTTGGGTTCGTGAGTGATCTGAGCAGAGATGACAGAAGTCTGCCCTGCAGGTGAGAAGCAGGCAGCAGGCAATGGAGAAAATCCAATTCAGCACCGGATGGTTTGGGCAAGTTGAGTCTTAGTTTCCTTATGGGAAATAGAAACATTTGGACTTTTCTCTAATGATCAAATCAATCCCAGAAACTGTCATTCATAACCCTGGTACAGAGCAAGTATTCAATAAATGGAAATTGTTATAAGTATTGTTATTACTACTACTATTTTATTCCAGCCCTATCAGTAAACTTCACTCAATATGACGAGGTACAAAAGTTTGTCCTGAAGGTCATATGGAAATACCATGCCATCGATTTCAGGGTTTTTAAGGGCAGTTCAAGGAATGCAAACCCAGTCCTAGTGAACATTATCGAACTGTCTCTTCTCCCTAGGTATTGTGGAAAACAGGGCTCATATAAAAAAAGCAAAAAAAAAATTTTAATGTCTATTACTTAATCACCCAAAATTAGAGGTTATCATTTTTGGTATATCTTTCCAATATTCTCTCTATATACATATTGGTTTTTGATCAAGTGAAATTTTTTTGTTCAAAGTAAGTTTTGTTTTGTGGCTTATTTTTTACTTTATAAACCACACACCTTTTCCTGTGTCACTATCTGGTCTTCAACCACTTCATTTTATAGCTCTCTATAGATGTAACACACTTTATGCAAACCTCCTATTATTGGACACTTCGATTTTATTATTGTTGCTTCCCATAGGATAACTGCAATAAAATCCTGGTAGATAGACCTGCACATACACTTAACCAGCTTCCACAGAATCCACTTCTCAAAACAGAATGCACGGGGTTAAGAATATGAACATTGTTAAGGTCCTTGATACATTGTAACCAAGGGCCTTGCAGAAAGTAAGTACCAGTTCCCTTGGGCTGTTTGCAAAAGTGATCCTTCCCCTACACCCACAGTAATGCTGATTTTATTGTGTGTGTTTTTTAACCTTTACTTCTTTGGGCTTATCATTTCAATCAGGTCCATTTTTACATTTAATCAATTGAAGGGCAGCTTCTTTGCAATGGTTCCCTTTTCCTGTGATTCAATTCGAGGGTTGTTGGCCCACTTTTCCTGTAAGGACTGAATAGTAAGTATTTTAGGCTCTGCAGCCTGTTGGATCTCGGTTCTAACGACTCATCTGCGGTTGTAGCTCAAAAGCAGCCACAGACAACATGCAGATAAATGAGCATGGCGGTGTGCCAATAAAACTTTATTTATGGACACTGAAATTTGAATTTCATGTCATTTTCACGTATCATGAAATATTATTCTTCTTTTGAATTTCTTCTCTACCATTTAAAAAATGTTGAAAATTTTTTTACACATCTTACAAAAGCAGGTGACAAGCACAGGGCATATTTGGCCCACAAGCCTAATTTTACCCAAGGCCCCATCCACACAGGACCCTTATTATCCTTTTGAACTTCTCTTTGAGAGAAGCTTTTTTTCTTAAATCTAATAATTTCCCATCCTGGCTGTGCATGATAATAACTTGGAAAGTTTTTTTTTTTTTTAAAGCCAGGGCTGGGCTCTGGCCGGTTTGGCTCAGCAGTTAGAGCGTCAACCCGCAGACCGGAGAGTCCTGGGTTCGGTTCCTGCTAAGGGCATGTACCTCAGTTGCAGTTTGTCATCAACCCCAGTTGGGGTTGTGTGGGTGGCAACTAGTCGATGTGTCTCTCTCACGTCGATGTTTTTCTCTCTCTCTCTTCCTCCCTCTCTCCCTCCTTCTCTATCTGAAGATGAATGCAAAAATGTCCTCGGGTGAGAACTAAAAAAAAAAAAAAAAGCCAGGGCTGGGTCCCAGCACAGACGAATTCATCCCATCAGGCTCTCTTGGAGGTTTGCATGGGCACGGCGCCTGACAATCTCTCCAGGTGACCCTGAAGCTTGGCTCACACTGCACTTCAATTAGTCACAGGCAGACGCAGCTCCGTTCTGCTGGGCCACCTTAGCCGGGGACCCAGGGCGCTGCCAAGAAGCCACGACCCTGGTAGCAGGAGGGAAATGCATTGTGTGACAGCTGAGGGTCGCCAAGCATTCTCCAGATGTGCTGACAAAGGGCTTCAGACTCTGGCTTCATTCAGAGCTCACTGCCGGCCTCCCTAGAAGGAAAGACAAGGAGGGTTTTTAACAAAAATTTCTCCTGGCGACAGGGATCTGTCTGCCCCAGCTCTGTGCTTAGAAGATCTGACCCCATGCATGGCTTAAGCTGCAGGAATGGGGGCTCTCCCCGACTCTGCCCTTCCCAGCAGACACAGACTTTGGTCTCTCTTGAGACCAAGTAGAAAAAGATGGTGCATAGTGATACCCACCTTGGCTCCCGCCCTGCCTTCCACTTCAACCCACCAACCACGGGCACCTAGCACAGGGGAAGAACCCTGCCTCTCTCCTTGGGTTCTTCCCCCTCTTTACATTTCTTTGCAGATTTCAAGGTGATGACAAAAGAGAGAACAGTCTTAGCATTTGTTAATACCCACTTGACCCACAAAAGAAAATTCACCAGCATTGCGCTGCTTCTCATTTAAAAACCATTAGACCGTTCCGCTTGGCGGACCAGATCTAAATATTCTTAAAGGGGTGGTTTAATTTAATGATTACCTTAACAAGCCCCCTTTTAAAATGATGATCCGCCAAATTCAGGGGATTTGCTTTGGAATCTGATCCAATAAGTGGCTTTGTACAAAGAGGAGCAGACGGAATCTGATTTGGTTCAGAACCCGGTGAAAATCATGGAAATTACTTTGCATATTTAATCACTGTGGAAACATAAGTACAAACTACTTTCTAGAGAGATTACCTTAGGAGGAAAAAAAAAAAAAGAGTCAGGCTCTGCAGCCAGCATGCCAAGTACTTTGATTTACAGGGAATTATCTGGATTTTGTAGAGCACCCCGTGTTTCAAAGACGTCAGCCTGCTCAGCTACTGGCAGAAAGATGTATTTTAAATTGTGGAGCAAAAGCTGGGCGTCGCGAATGGAAGTGACACGTGAGGACCCGACGTTGAGGTCTGTGGGGTGACCTTGAATTCCTTACTTGATGAGGCCTCCGGTGACCTGTGGCTGACCCCATGAGGGTGTGTTATCCCAAGGAAAGCCCTCTGGGTCTGTCGTCAGGAACGGAGGCACATTGCCCATGTCAGGGAGGACCCTGCCTTCCTGTCGCCCCGCAGCACAGAGCAAGCAGAGAGCTCTCAGCTAGAGGAGGGGGTGGCAGGGAGCCCTACAACGGCTGGGAGGCGGTGTGACCTTGGCTGGGTCTGTCACCTCCCCAAATATTCTTTCTTCCTTTGCTCATCCTTTCCTCTGGGTTTCTTATTAACTATCACCTCATCGGCGAGGCTTCTTCTGATCAGCCCACCTAAGAGAAGCCCCCCACGCGGTCCTCCCTCTCACTGGTCACTGTTCTCCTTCCTGCCTCACGTCCTCCCCGCAGTGTGCCTCGGACCGTGCTCACGCTCTGCCTCCTCCCATCCAGTGAGCCTGGGCTCCGTGTGCTCGGTTCACGGGCTGCTTCCCCGAAGCAGTGCCTGGCTCAGTGAATATTCGAATGAAAGAATTAATAATCCCGGCCTGTGTGGCTCAGTGGTTGAGCGTCGGCCCATGTACCAATAGGTCACCGGTTCGATTCCCTGTCAGGGCACATGCCCAGGTTGTGGGTCCAATCCCCAGTGGGGGGGGGGGCATGCAGGAGGCGGCCCATCGATGTTCTCTCTCATCGATGTTTCTATCTCTCTCTCCCTCTCCCTTCCTCTCTCTCTAAAACCAATAAAGGAAAAAATTTTAAAGAAAGAATTAATAAGGTCCGACTCCTCGTTACTTATGTGAGGGCGAAATGTGATCAGAGTCGTGAGTACTTAACAAAGCAGAAGGAGCTGTACATGGGAAAAAGGAAGTTCAGACAGATTTTTCGGGTGGAAGAGGCCAGCGTTGGACCCTAGCTACCTTCTCCTTCTGTGACCTTGGCCAAGTCACAGAGTTGCCTTTCTGAGCCTCGGTTTCCCGTCTGTATAACGGGACAGCGCATATCTCATCCAGTCGCAGGCAAAGGGCCTGGCCCAGGGCTTGGCGCATGGTTTGTAGTCAAGAATGAGGAGCTGGTAACATGATTCATGGTTGTGACGGTCAATTAGATGCATCGGCTTGCCTGGGCCATGGATGCCCAGACTGCTGGTTCAACAATATTCCTCCGTGTGTCTGTGAGGGAGGTTTCTGGAAAGATGAGCCTTTGGATTGGTGGGCGGAGGAAAGCAGACGGCCCCTCCCAGTGTGGGCGGGCACCACCCCGTCCCGCAGGCCTGACAGAGCGCTAGGTGGGAGTTGAAACTGCCCTGCCTGCCTCCCTGACCTGGGACATCACGTCTTGTCCTCGGGGCTCCCGGATCTCCCGGCTTCGCACCTGACCTGAAGTCTACAATATCGGCTCTCCGACTGTCCGCCCTCCGATCTACGCCCCTGTCTTTCCCGGCCTCCAGCTTGCAGTGGGGAGGGGCGGGACCTCTCAGCCTCACAACCACATGAGCCAACACGCGTAACAGATTTCCTTCGGGAGAGACAGATACATATCCGAATGGTTCTGTTCCTCTGGAAAACCCACATCAATACAACGGGTAAGGAAACAACTC